CTAAAATTTCTCCCAAGCCTAAGGGTTCTCTCTCTTAATTCTTTTGGTGGAATTGTTTGTTGCACATAAATATCTCATTTTAGGAAGTCCGAGTCATCTGGCTTTTCTTCCACTGTTTGACTGTTTTCAGGTATGTTTGATAGTGTATTTATGCCATGTATTAGGAATCGTAAGTATGTTTCTATTTTCACTGATGATCTTTATATTTCTGAGTTTAACATTTAGGTCTTTCATTGCTCTTTGGTTCATTTTGCTAGGTAGTGTGGATATAGGTTCTGTTTCATTTTTCTGCAAATGGAAATCCAGTTTTGTCAGTACCACTTGTTAAAGAGACTATCTCTTCCCCTATGTGATGGCTTTTGGCCCTTTGTCAAAGTCTAGCTGTCCATAGGTACATGGATTTCCTTCTGTGTTCTAAATTCTGTTTCATTAGTCAACATGTGTGTTATCGTACCAGTACCAGGCTGTTTTCACTACTGTGCAGCAAATTTGAGTGGCTGTGTAGCAGATTTTGAGATTGGGGAATGAGATACCTCATGTTTTGCTCTTTTACCTTCTTTCGTAGTGCTCTGTTTATCCAGGTGTCTTTCCTTACTGTATAAATCCAGTCATTAGTTCTTCCATCTCTTTAGAAAACTATCTTGGGATCTGGGTCAGAATTGTATTATACCTGCAAATTGCTTTGGATGATGTTGATATTTTCACAATGTGAAGTCTTCGTATCTGTGAACATGGTATATTTTTCCATTTTATGTAGGCCTCTTTTGGTTTCCTATGGTAGTGTTTTGTAGCATTCTTTTTATGAATCTTTTGTTTCTCTGGTTATACTTATTTATAAGTATTTCACCTTCTTGGTGGCTATTGTAAATTATATTGTTTTTCTTTTCAAAGCTCTCTTTGTTAATGGAAAGGAATCTGATTAATTATTGTATGTTGTTCTGTGTGTGTGTTGTTCTTATACCCTTAAACCCTGACACTTAGCTAAGTCTTTCAATTTAACTCAAAATTAACTCCATTAATTTTCTTGCTGAGTTTTTGGAGTATATATATGCATATATATGTATATATACATGTGTGATACATATGCATATATATATATGTCCTTTATTTATGACAAAGATCGAGATTAGCTCTTGCTCAAAGCCTTCAGTGGCTTTCCCAGCCTCACATTGTACAAATTCATTAGCCTAGACTGCAGAACTTTCTTTTTCCATAGTTTTTATTGGCATAACTTCAAATATCATACAATTTAATCCTTCAACCATTAAGATTTGTGCAATCAGCACCACAATATATTTTTGAACATTTTCTTTTCATATGTGTTGCTAGCTCCCTATTTCCCCACATCCTCCCCTGCCATGCCTTTATACAGTTACTTTCTCTAAAGACCTACTTATCCTGGATTTCATATACAGAAAATCACACAAAATTCAATCAGGATGTAAGTGAACAAACAAAAATGAGGAGACAAAGCATGGGAAAACCTCAATAAAAGGGAAAGCAGAAAATATTGAAAATGGAAACAACTTTAAAAGGAGATGAAAGAAGATCAAATGATAAGGTATTACGTTTTAACCTAACTACATCTAGTCTGCAGAGCTTTTTGCATTCCAAGCACAGTTTATATCTCCATCTGTGTCCACCATGGCTCTTGTTATGGATTGAAGCGTGCCTTCTCCACCCCCAATATGTTTGAATTTTAGCTCTGTGGTACTTGCAGAATCTCTTGTCAACTTGAGCAAAGGGGTGGAGTCTGGTCAGTCAATGAGACCTCTGTGTGGGCATGGCCTTCTCCTGAGGATTCTGGGAACTCCTGTCTTCCTCCTTGGAGGCAGGACACACACTCTCTCTGCTTCATCTTCCTGCTGACAAGCCACATGGAGCCAGAACCCTGGAGCTGGAGGAGCCACATGGAAACCCATGAGAGTGCTGAGGTGCTTCTACTGCCACTGGATCCACACCCACTGGCCTGCGGTCTTCCTGCATTTGGCATCATTGCAAGTATTGTGTGAGTCTGAAGAGGAATTTATAGACTGGTATCAGGCATATAGGCTAATATTGGACCTATGGATTTGATCTGGACTGGGCTAGGATGTTTTCTCAATACACAATTGCTCTTTTATATAAAGCTCTTTCTTATACACATATGAGTGTCTATGAGTTTGTTTCTATAGTCATTCCTGACTAACACAAACCCTATATCCAGGTAACACAGTGATTAAATCATTAGCTGCTAACCAAAAGATCAGCTCTTCCCACTAATATCTCTTTAGGGAAAAAGAAGTGACAAGTTTGCTTTTGTAAAGTACAGTCTTGGAAATCTTATGAAGCAGTTCTTCTCTGTCCTATAGGATCATTATGAGTCAGAATCAATTCCATTGCCATGGGTTTGGTTTGTGGTTTATATCTGGGGATATAATACTGTTTGGATATAGAATTTTGTTATGTTAATGAGTCCATACCAGTTTAGTTTATGTCCTAAATCTAAGTTACAAAAATAGCTGAACAGAAACAGATGCTGGAGGAGACAGATGGCATGTGAAGATTGCCGAGAACCAAAGAACACCTGGGGCCACATACAAGAAAGGAATCAATATTGCTGACATCTTGATTTGGTCTTTTGGCCCTCAGAATAGTGAGAAAACAAAATTTTGGATCTTCAAAGTCACCCTTTTGTGGTCTTTGTATTACAGCTCCACTAAATTACTATGACATTTCTCTCACAATGTTCTGACAGCTCCTAGGCATGTCCCTTAATTTCCTACTACATGTGGTCCTCAACATGGTGGTGGGGGTGGGGGTGGGAGTGGGGGTGTCAGGTTCCAAGCCCCTATACTCATTGTGACAGTCTAATTGTCTACCCTGTCAAAATAACTTTCTATGGAGTTCCCTGTTTCCCTCGTGGTGGTTATTGTTTCCCACTTCTTGGAACCTCTCTACCAACATGGCATTTATTATTTTCCATCCTGTTTACTTCTACTGGAGTCCCTGGGTGGTGTAAAGGGTTAATGCACTCAGCTGCTAACCAGAGGATTGGAGGTTCAAGTTCACAGGGGGTACCTTGGAAGAAAGACCTGGTGATCCACTTAGGAAAACTCAGTCATTGAAAATGGAGCACCATTCTATTTATGGTATCCCAAGGATTCAGAGTGATCATACAACTGCAACAGGTGACCTGTACTTGTCTTATTTCCCACCCACCCCCGCCCCCATTGAGTATGATGGATAGAACATGCTCTGTTAAATCCTTTCTTGATAATCCTGTAGCCTCCATATCCTGTAGACACTATGAAAGCCACTAAGTATGGTGCCTATTACCTGGCATTGTGAGGAGGTGGTCCACAGAGAGTGCTTAGAAAAGTTCCCAGCCCCTTGGAAGTGTTTTTGTAATTGTTAGTTGTTTAGTGACCCTCACCACCACCCCAAGAGCTCTCTCATGTCCTGATACCCTCTTTGCAGAGGGTCAGCTCCCAGGGGGCTGGGGCTATCACATTAATTTTGTTTCCTCTATAACATGAGACACAATGCTTATAGTGAGGGCTCAGTAAACATTTAATGACCAACAAGCTGGAGTTCTGTGACTTCACGTACAAACTGAATTAGATTTTAACGTTAACAGCCACACTTCTTAGAGGGGGCTCCACAGGAGCCCATCAGAAGAAATGTGACAATGACATCTTGTGATATTCGCACTCAGCTTGTTGTCACAAGAGCCGTGGGGAATCAGGCCTGTGCGGAGTCTCCAGTTGTGGCCAAGGATAGTTCCTGTCTTTTCAGAAACAGGGAGGACTGGGATCTAGTGTCGGTGCCAGGGATCTGTTTCTGGTTCACTTAAGGAAGGAAGCAGCACTTGGCCTGTAAGATGGCCTTCCAAAGAAAGAAGCAAGACCCCCAAAGATGAGAACCCAGATAAGGGGACACTGCTCTGCTCAGTTACATAACATGACCTGTGAGTAACTCTAGCTGTGCTCTACTTTTCTGAGCCAGTAGCCCTCTTTCTTTTACCTCCTTTGATACCAAAGAAAACGGTGTATCTGCCAAAACAAACAATAACAGCAAGTCCACTGCCACTGAGTCCATTCTCACAGTCAGGCAGGGGTGAGTTGGGGAGGGAGCCTATTCCCGGGCCTTTATCCTTTCTCTAGGAAACTGGCAATGACTGGGATTTTACCCAATGTGGTAATGTAGTCACCCAACAACCAGCCTTAGTCTTGTGAGTCATCAACACCCAGAAACTACAATTCCATTAAAAAAATAATAATAAGTAACCACCGGATACTGTCTGTGCTTGACTTAATGTTGGAGTATAGAAGCTTTGCAGACAGTTCCCCAGAGAATTTGAGCTGCTCAGAGACTTTACTGGTTGGAATGTAGTTTTAGTGGTGCCCTTAAGGACTGGCAGGTTGGTGGGGGCAGGAAAAGGAGGTAATGTCTGGCAGCTTTGGATGAAAGCCAGTCTGACCAGTTTGTTGTTTTTTCCATCATTCGATTTTGGTCCAAGATAAGGGCCAGCTTGTCCCCTTGAGCAGGTTCTGGGAAAGGAGGGAAGGAATTCTGTTACCATTCTCTGATTTTCTCCTTTTCAGGACCACCTGGTTCTCAGCTCTCATGGGGCTGTGGCCTTCAGGCTGGCTGGCCAAAGGGAAGCAAACAGCATGGGGTGGAGAGAGCCTAGAGAAGTCAGGACTGAGTGTGGCAGAGAGAGAACATGAATGGGAAAGATAGGGGCTGAAGTCCAGAGGGAGAGGACTGGCTGCTTACGGTGGGGAGCCAAAGAGGAGGACTATTGTATAAGGCCAGTGGGAACAGGGCTCCAGTCTTCCGTGACCTGTTGGGAAAGAAGTGAGTCTCCCAGACCCTTTATGTAGAAATGAATCAAGTCTTTTCTCTTAGCCCTGTCTGTTTCTAGCCACCATCATCCTCTCCCAACTCCTCCCTACCAATCCCAGACAACCTTACTTTACGTCTCCTATATACTCATAACACTCTGAAACTCTTACCTATAGCTGACTTACTGCTTGCTGGTTTTACAATGGTCTGTGCACAACCCCCTCCTTCATGAGTCTCTGAGCTCCAGTGGGTAGGGACTGGGTCTTTTTCACCCTGTAGCCTCAGGACTTGTAATGTGAAGATGCCTAAGAAGTATTGAGCAAATGCCCATTGTGACATATAAACATATCCAAGGTTACATCAACAGGCATGTGGCCCCAAGGTCAGGAGATTATCTTCCTATATGAGCGTGATGAGAGGAAAATGGAGGAGGGGAAACCAGGTTAAAACAAGAACAGTAAGCAGCTGAACTGTGAGTATGATTTTTGATTAGCCAAGTTTCTTCTTGTATAGCAGGGATGGGGAAAGTTTTTTTCTCCTAAGGGCCACGTGGATATTTAAAACATAATTGACAATCTATACTAATCAAACATTTAATTAACTCACCCCTATTGTGATGGCTAGAACTGCTTCTCTTTGGTGAGGCTTGTGATGTTAGCTAGTAGTGATGTTTTCACAGGCCATATCTGAGCTGTGGGCTGGACAGTCCCCATCCCTGATGTATAGGAGAGAAGACATGGGCAAAGGAAGGATTTAGGCAATCAACCATAACTGAAACCAAACACATTACTGTTGAGTTGGTTCCAACTGATGGTGACTCGTGTGTGTCAAAGTAGAACTGTGCCACATAGGGTTTTCAGTGGTTGTAATCTTAGGGAAGTAGATGACCAGGTCTTTTTCCTGTGGTATTTGAACCACCAACTTTTTTTTTAATCATTTAATTAGGGGCTTATACATACAATTGTGTAAAGCATATTTGTACATTCATTGCCCTCAACATTCTCAAAACATTTGCTCTCCACTTAAGCCCCTGGCATCAGGTCCTCTATTTTTCCCCTCTCTCCCCAATCCCCCTTCCCTCATGAGCCCTTGATAATTTATAAATTA